GCCTCAGACTGCAGCACATGTTTTGGGGTTGGTTGGTGGAGCGCTGACTTGGAGTGATGGCTTTTGTGCAGAAGTGGTTACATCTGGATACTGCTGCAGGGCTGGAGGGAATATGTCTGGGAGGGGAAGGAATGCGTCCGCCTTATTCCTGTCTCTGGGATCACTTGCACTGTTTTTTGGTGTTCAGTTATCATGGGGGATTCAGGCTTGGCTCCTCATGAAGACTGTTACTCCATTTCCCGTTTCCTGAGCAGGCTCCAGCTGTGAACTGGAATTAAGTATTTTCCGTTAAAACTACTTTTACCCCCAGATATAAACCTACTTTTGGGGAAATAACTCACTTGCAATGTGTGTTACATTTTCAGAAGTCTTTAGCAAATCCTTTTTTTTTTTTTTTTTTTTTGAAAGATAATCATGTTCATATTATTCTCTGTTTTCTTTTTCATAATATCTCTAATATTTATGGTGTCATGTCTTTTTCAGGTGGCAATTCATTTGACACAATCACCTGTATTTCTAGATTCAGCGATCTACTGAGTTTTAGCTAGCATTTGTCTGCTTAGTTCTAGTCAGATTTTATCTAGTCAGTTGGTTGGCTCAGAAATTCTTAAAGTGACTATGAAACGGGAACTAGAAATACCAGCAGCCTGCTGTTCTTTATATGCCTTCATTGGCACTGTCTTAGGATAAATGATGTGAGGACAGTGGAAAGGAAATTCTGACAAAGTGGTTCCTCCTCCCTTCGCCTCCCTCTACCGCACAGCCACTTTCAGGCAGTCCCGCAGACAAGTTCCAGCAAATGCCAGAGCCCTTTGCGAAGGGCCATAAATCGTGCCCCTAATCCCCGCAGTAGACCGGTGCTCAGGTTAGCTGAGTGCATTTGCAATGTTATGGTTGCAGGGGCTTTAGGGGCATTATCTTTCCTGTGCAAACAGTACATAAAAGTTCTTCGGGGGCTTTCCCGTATAGCTCTGGCAGCTAAAAGACAGATTGTAGAATACAGTTTTAAAAGCAGAAATGTGGGGGGTTATGCTTCTTGATAGATTTTCTCAATGGGCAGGCATGTTACATAGAGATTAAACTGAGAATTTAAAAATAAAGTGATTTAAAATAGATAAAAATAAAGTGATTTAAAATAGATATTTATAGCACTCTTGTCCAAGGGTGTTTTTCCACTTGGTAAATTTCGCAGTTTGTCTATTTCCAAACTCACATTGAAAAACTGGCCAAATTGTAGCAACTTCTTAGGATACAAGTGGAAATACAGGTGTGAGTTGGTCAGCTTTGGCAGCTATCGTTCTGGCCTCCCGTCGAGGAAAACYTGCAGGTGCTCTGCTGGCATCAAGTGCTTCCCTAGGCTCCTGTGTCCTTTTCCTTGGAAAGTAAAGAACTTCTACCTAAGCGCATCCCTGCTCTCCTTCTGTGCTAACGGTGGTTRCTCTTTCAGTGCCTGCTGCTCTCTCATTGCGAGGGGTCCGAGCCTTGGTTCGTGGGTCTGCCTGGGATGAAGGACTCCGAGCAGATGGGAGTTGTTTTGCTCAGTTCCCTTCCTTCTGCGTGGAGCATATGCTGTTTATGAAGCCCTGTTCCCCGCCTCGAGTGGATGCTTTCTTTTATTTACAGTAGTGCGTAAGTGGCCGGGYGCAGCAGGGTGTGGAGCTGCTCTTAGGCCCTGCCGTTGGCGCCTGTGAGCGAGGGTGCCGCTCCTGGGGCAAGCAGGGCAGGCTGGCGGCGGCAGCGGCGCTGCCCGGCCAGGCTGCCCCCGCTACGGCGCTGCGCTGCACRGGCAGGAGCAGCTGCTCGCCTAGAGCACACGCTGGAACAAACTGTTTATTTTCCGTTGTTTGTAATCATGCAGAACTTATTATGGCTGTATCTTTCCATTTTCTTTTTTTTAGYGGTTTTTTTCCATTCATACTTGCGGCACCGTTCGGTGCTGCAAGAGCTGCCTTCGGAGTGACATGTGTGTCATAGACAGGATAGCCCCAGGGCCCAGGCACGTGTCCCTTTGCTCAAAATGCACAGTCTGTAGCTAGGTGCCTTGTCTGGGTAGCCTCTTTGGCAGGCTGGCTACATCCCTCCCATGGACGCTCGCTGCAGTAAAATGCAGTGCAAGGTACCAGTGCTAGGCCTCGTCAGTCAGTGCTGCTGCTCCTTCCTCCTTTGGGAGTTTGTAGCACCTGAGAAGGAGCAAGCAAGGCTCTAGCAAAAGCTGGGCTCCATGTCAGTGCACAAGGAGGGCAAATATTCAAAACAAAACATTCCCCTGCTAAAGACGCTCAGCTGCTAAGCTGAGATGCTTAATGCTTGCTGAGGTACGATGTCTGATTCTTCAGTTTGTCTCCCTTTATAATTTATATAGTTATAAAGCCAAAGTTTGCTGTAAGGTTTACCTCCTTTGCCTCCTCTGCGCTGCTTCTAGCAGCATGTTTTGTACCTAGCCCTGCATGATTATTATTATTGTTGTGTTATGTCTGTCTTTCAGTGTCTCAAGGCAAGGATGTGATTTTTGTCCCCTCAGGCAAACGGCCAGCTGTATTCTTCCCCTGTTAATAGGAATTTTCYCCCTCCCTCTGGTTAGGGGTCAATTTGAAGTGCAGGAAAGAATGATTATGATAACAGGAGGAAACAGGAAGAATTGTGCTTTCTTTTTCAATCTGTTTTTTATTGTTGTTTTAATGTAAAACATTGTTTCAATTAAATGCTGACCTGTGCCGTGGCGTGTGCATGCACATGCCGAAATGAATTCAGGCTTTGTTTGGAAAGCTGTGACCTCCCGATTCCTGCTTTGGATCAAGGCTGCTGCCTTTCGAGCCCACTGCCGGTGACTGCAGTTTCACCCACACGAAGCCCCAGCAGCAGCAGCAGTCCTGAGGAGCGGCGCTCTCCCTGCCATTTTTATGGGGTGGGGGTGGTTGTTTCTCTGTGCTTTCTAAAATAAACTTGCTTAAGAATTTCTCATGTAATGAGGAGAGGGAAAGAAAAGAAAAAAGAGAGACATGACATGATTAGACGGTCTCTAGCAGGCTTTGTATTAAGCTCGGACCTGAGGGGACAGAGATCTCCAACAGCTACTTGTTTTCTTTGTGACCCAGTCTAAAACCATGTTATTTATTCTCTGATATCTCTCTCTCTCTCTTTTTTTTTTTTTTTTTTTACAGTGAGAGTGCAATATGACCCGATTTCACCCAAAACTAACTGTAGGACTCAACCTTTCCCACTGCCCCCAAAAATGTTTACTGCCACGGTGCTAGACGAAACATGCCCAGTTTGTTAGTTGCTTGGATATAATAAATGTTAAATCTGGATGAATCAGTGTCTTCTTGCTTAAGCTTTCTGTTTTGTTTAAAGTGAACTGTTTTGGAGGAAGGAAAAAGAGGGAGGTGGGGAGGAAGAATGATGAAAATTGTCTGGGATGTTAAAATGAGTCAGTTACACTTTATATTTGTCCTCTGGTGGCTAGGTTTTCATTTTCCTCCTTGGCCTCCTGGAATGTTTTATTTATATATCTTATTAGTTCTGGATGTTCCACACGGGGGGAAAACATGAATTACAAACSTTTTTTTCATTATTGTATTAAGAGCCTGAGTATTGAATGCAGGTGCTCGGCCCCTGTCATAATTGGCAGTTTTGGGAGAGACACCAGCTGTACGGGTTCACCGGGGACGGATCRGATCTCTTCACACGTTGTATATATTGTAGGAAATGCAGAATTCCTGGCATTGTCGGGAACCCTGTAGGGCTGCATCTACAGGGACCTCCACAGAAAAAGACAGTAAGCCCTGGAAGTTGACACTGTGTCTGTGCTCGATGTGCTCTTGAGCAGCACTGGCTGATGTTTTGTTTGGCTAAATATAGATAGCATTTAATAAATATTTGTCCTTTAATGGTCATGCGTGACAAGCTGCTATCACAGCAACTGCCTCACTTTCTGTAGAGCATGGCAGGTTATATTACATGTCTGCATGTGCGTGTGTGGTATCCCGGCGTGTGTGTTTAGGATATAGAATGTATATAGTATATAGGTTTATACTCATCGTGTATTGATATCCCAAATCAGGTATTTATGTTCCAGTTCATAGAGCAAGGTTGGAAACGGAATTATGTCCAAATTTTATTAGGCTGTAAAAGGCACAATGATGTAGTGGGAAAAATGTGATGCTTCTGGGCATTTTAGATGCCTGGGAAAGAAGTTCCCTTGTTTGCAGAAGCCCTGGGAGATTACAGGTGGCAGTTAGTGCTGCCAGGACAGTGCTGATATATTAAAGTGCAAGTGGGTGGGACTTCTGAAGCTTCTGAAGGATGGAATTATAGGGGAAAGCTGGGAGTTAGTATTAAAATTTATAGGTATTGTACATGAGTAATTGTGCCAAGCAGAAAAGAAGGAGGCAGAACATCTGCCTGTGTATATTGGAAAAGTGTAATCACTGAGAGGAAAGAAGAGCTGTTCAGTGTTGAAAAGCAATGTGAAAAACAGGGCATGTTTTTTATCAAGAAAAATATTGGTGCCTGGCATTTTATTAGATAGCAAAGTACTGTCCTGGTGAAAGTAACAGAAACCTCAGCAGCAGCATCGTTGTAAGAGCAAGCTGGAAAATACAGTCCTGCTCTTAGAGGAATGGGCAAAGGTTGCAAGTGTCTGGAATGAATTTAACACCTGTTTCAAATACTTGTTATCCTCCTTCCTTTCATGTGGCTTAAAAATAAGTTTAAATAACTTTATAGGCATTTGCTGTCTTTTGACTGTTAGCCTAATTTGGGGGCATGCAGGGATCAAGCTCTTTCCATCTGTATTTTGGAGTTAATTCCAGTTATRTTTTGTCTGTAATCACAAAGTCTTCTTTTTCTTGCTCTCTCCTCAGGACTATCCTGTAAGATGAGAAACCTCTTTCAATACAATTTCCCTTCCAGCGCTGCAGAGCGGTGTTTGGTCGTGCACTTGGTGTCTGGGGACGCGGGAGGCAGCCGCCCTCACCTTGCTGTGTTTGGTGTTCCGCCAGGTCTGCGGGCGCTGCGGCGCGCGCTGGGCGCGCGGGCCGCGCCGCTCGACAGCGAGGTGGCCGGCTCCGTGCGCATTGCCCGCCAGGACTTCCTGCAGGCCGCCAAGGAGGTCAGGCCCAGCGCCATGCGCGAGGTGGCAGTCGACGTGCCCAAAGTAAGTTATTTTTCGCGGTGCGCCAGCCATGGTTAGAGCCCCGGCAAGAGGGGCAGTAGGACATTGAACTGCCCACCCAAAACTGATCCCTTTTTTGAAGTGAAAGCCTCAAGCTGCCAAAAAGTTTTATGCATTGTCTTTCTGTTTACATGCTACTTTATTTATGGCTTTGAAGACTCAGTTACCCAAGCATAAGTTCTTAATGCTTGCAAAAGCGGTGGTAGTGCAGGAGTGTATCTCCTGCCCTGGAGCTGTTAGTGGTGCGTGTGTTACTGGAGTAAAAAGCGTAAGGTGTTTGCTCAACGCAGAACCTTGAGTAGCTGTTTAAGTGGAGCCTTTTGATAAGCAGAAACAAATTCGAGTAGAAACCAAGTGATAGCATTTTTAACAAAAGTGTATTGAAACGAATCTGTGAGGAGACTCACTGGGGTCATTTTATATCAGGCACGCAGTTCATCCTGCTGTGTCCTGCATGTCTTCAGTGAGATTACATGGTTTTACTTTAGGGCAGAAATAGATTCCATAGGCAGCTTTTAGTGCTGAGCAGTGACCATGTCAGAAACTGTCATTGCATCGACATTACATTAACAGTGCCAGCTGCAGCCATGTTTAGCCCACTCCCCTGTTCTATAGAGGGGTGAGTGATACCTGCCCATCTCAGTTACGTATTACAGGAGTTCACAGGGGCACAACATAAACTGGACCAGGGAACTGATCTGCGTTAAGAAACACTGGAAAACATTGTAGGTAATCTTAGTAAATCTTCGCTCTGCAAGCAGTTGTGCCAGCTCCCCAAGCTCCTTGACCCCTGGAAGAAAGCTTTCACATCTCATTGCATGAAGACGAGGCATCTGGGAGTTGGCCTCTGCCATTATAAGCCCTTATTCCCAAACTAAAGCAATGAGAAATGAAACTCATGAGCAGGATGCTGCATACAGCCAGCTGGGGGATCGCACTTGGCTTGTTAAAGGTTCCCACTGCGCAGTGGAGAGCTGGGTGGAAATACCTGGGCTGGCCCCTAGACTGCTTTGCCTGGAAATGGGGTAGCAGCAGCAATATCCTCCCAGGCTAATTCGTGCTGGGAGTCAGAAGTGCTAATTCTCTTGTTGCTTGCTGGGCTACTGGTTCTTGGACTCATGCCACTCTTGCTGTGCTGGGCCTTTTAGGTGTACCAGCACATTTGGAGTTGGACAGAGTGCTGCTAAATAGTGTAATTTAGACGTGTAATTGACTTGCTCAAGATCCTGCAGGGAATCTGTGATAGCGAATTTGGCCCTGGTCTCCCTACAATTCAGGCTAGCGTTGTCCCCTGAACCTTCCCACTAGAGGCATCCTGTGTTGAGTTTAAAGTGTGGGAGTCAACAGACTTGTTCAAAACACATACCCTCCCACATCACCCACCACGGGCTGCTAAAGCTCCATTTAACTGTTATTTTGGGCTGCAGAACGGTCTGCCTGCAACACCTAAGTCACCTATACATGTTGAGGAGCAGCCTGATTATTTGGTAATACTTGGCACAGCTGTCTGTAGAAGTCAGGGCAGTGGAAAGTCTCCAGCCTTGTCACCCACCAAGGCTAGTTGCACAGTTGTCCTTGATATTTGGGGTGGGGAGGTGCCTGAAGTCAGCTCAAGTCGCTGGGATTGTGGCAGGAGCTTGGCATTGCTGAGGCTGCAGCAAAATGCATTAAACAACCCATTTGTGATGGTTGTTATTAAACCTCGCCTAGTGCAGTTTCATGTTTATTAGCAAATCARTATGTCTTATTTTCACATGTTTGTTGTTGTCCGAGTGCCAGTCCTTGGCATTTAATGTACTGCTATCCAGAGGATTTACATGGTTGATTTGTTGTTCGGAACATGCCTTGCAGCAGAAAATGTAATACAGTTTCTAATTCTGTGGATACCTTTTGTTTATTTTAAGGAGGGTATGCAATACTTCACGTTGCGTGCTTCTAATACTGATTTTTAGCTCTGTCTTAATCTAATTTTGCAGATGCAGTTGTGCTTCTCTGGTTCAAGCTGCGTGTTTAACTGCTGCGGTTAGAGCTGCGTGCCTGCTTGATTGCTCTAACATTTGCAGTTAATTGGATGCTGAAGCGCTGGGCTGTGCTGAAACCCCATAGCTGAGAAGCCAAACGGTGCAGTCGCAGGGCAAGTGACTTGTCCCACCRCCCTGGGGCCCGAGGCTGCCTCCTCCACCACTTTGCTGCTGCTGTGCCCCAGTGTCCACTCCCCCAGCACCTGTTGGGAAGCCTTGAAAATGACTTGCTTGTCACAGAGCTGTTGCTAACATTGGCTGCCACTTCTCTAATAAGTTGCTCCTCTTTACTACCTTCCTCTCTTTCAGTGGTTYATGGACTCGGGCCACTTTTCCATTCAGCACTTTATTGTTTGGCTCTTGGCCAAGGTGTACTGTGATATGTTACTTATGTGCTCTGCAGTAATTTACACCGACCCAAACTGCCTTACTTGCACAACTTGTTGCGTTCATATTAGAATATAAAAATTAYGGTTGGGGAAAAAAAAGAAAAAGCTGGCATAACTAGACAGGTTGCCTAAGGAAAGCTGGATTCCTGAATTCCTGAAACTTAACTTTTGATTTTATTTATTTTTTTTTTTTTTTCCATCTGGCTACTTGTCTTCATGCCCATTAGTTTACACATCTTGTATTGCTATGTCTCCAAATACTTTGTGTGCATAAGCCTGCTACCCTCTGCCCCAGAAGCTGTCAAACTGGACAGGTGATTTTGTGGCTGTACTGACTGTAACACTGTTTGTCATCTAAAACACCCTTGCTAAAAATAGCTTTAAGCATGAAGTAAATGATCAGCTATAGGAATTTTTTTCCAAACAGAAGAGGAGAGTCTGAACTACATTAGTAATCTCTTGTATCATAAACTCCGGGTTGTTTAGTCAATACAGATCTGAATTGCTCTCTGAAATCTGGCAGATTTGGAGTAGGCTCTATGGGAAAACTAGTGTTCAAATCTTTCTGCAGTTTTCAGATTGTAGATTGTAGATCTTGTCAGTTTAGGAGGCTTGAGAGCTAAATTGCTCTGTTGCATTCTGTTGTCTTTTTAATTTAAAACCTGGCACAAGTTCCTCTGTTGTGCAGGTACTTGGGGTAGTAGCTAAAGCACAAGAAGAAGCTTTGAGAGAAGTGAGCTGGTTGGGTGGCCTTGTAAATGTCACTTTATTTCATGATGTCTCGGGCTGCTTTGCAGCCTGCTTCTGACAAATGCTCTTATGACCAACCAGTTATTTCTTTATTAATGCACCCTTTAGCTGATTTGCAACACATGTTGTGCTGCCCTATGCTTGAAGGCCCATGGTAGTCATGTGCATTATGTAGATGCTTGTGAAAGAGCTGCCTGTGGCACGTCCTGAGCAATTTTGTGTTCCAGGCGTGTGCAAGGTTATCGGTGGGGAAGGAGCCAAGGCAAGTGAGTTTGGGAGGGCCCATGGAAAGCGAGGCTGGTGCTGGGGAGCAGAAGTGGGTGTAGGTGGGAGTGTTGGGTGCACTTTTTGGTGGGCTGCCTTTCTATATCCCTTAGTGTGGGCTCTTGCACCCTCCTTTGCAAGGCAAATGAAAAATACAGGTCTTCCAGGTTCCCCTTAGTATCATGTCTTCCATTTTTACAGACTTTTTACCGAACCTTTCTTGAACTTTGCTGTGTCCCCCCGCCCCAGACATATAAAAGCTGCACATTTTAAATCAAGAAGCTCATACTGCAGTTGTTTGGAGAGTTGCACTCTGRTTACTGTTCCTCCCTCTCCTTTGGGTCCTTCTGAAATTCGTGTAACGTGCTTGCTCACTTTGCTCCCCTCACTGCAATTCAACGCTCAGATCCACATCCTTGCAGCCCAAAGGTTCCAGAGGAGCCAGCCCTTGCGTGTCTGCTCTATTTCTTTATTGCTGCTGCTTCGCTGCCTCTGGAGAGTTGCTGATCTGCATCATATTCTGAGGTCTGTTAACCTGGGGAGASCTGAGATGATGGTGGGACTGAAAACGTGGTGTCTTGCATCCTGGAGCAGAGCACTGTCTTGGTATCTTCGAGCTGAGCCTAAGGCCAGGCTTTTAAGCCGCTTCCCCGGTGCGGGAAGACCCACCTCATTGCAGGTGCTGTGAGGCAGCCAAGGATGTGCAGCTTGTTCTAATTAGTGGACTCTCATCTGTGTTAATCACAGGCAGGAAGTTACTGAGGTCTGCGAAAACATTCCTCCCAGCTCTTCCAAGCACATATTGGCCTACATAAATCTGCACAAATTCTTGCTTTGCAGGTTTTACTGTTAGTGGGCTGATTTTTCTACTTATCTGTATGCTTCTAAAAGGAGAAAACAAATATTTTGTTTTGAACTTGACAAGCAGAGAAACACAGTGCTTTATTTTCTGTTTTTACCTTTAATACCATTGCGGCTTGAATTCCGTATGATTTGTGGTAATTAGGAATCTGCAAACAAGTTTCACTCTTCTGAAAAATAAAGCAGCACAGAAAGCCACGTTCTAACTACAGGCACTAACTGATGCCTAGCTCAGACACCACCTCTGAGGAAGAGGAGAAGCTGCCTGAGAAACCATGTGTCCGGCTTTCAAGAGTGGTCAGGTCTTAGCTGCACTGCCCTGTGGTGGTGTCTCCCTGTCTCTCTCCAACATGTTGAGATCTGAAGATACCCTGCGCTAAGGTAGATGGTAAGAATTCGTCTTCCCATGTCCCTCTTCCCTTCCAGAGCGCTGCAAAGCTTCTCACTGAGCAGCTGTTTTTGCTGAGTTCGGACACATGGTTTCATTTTGGACATAGAGACTCTCTCTCAGCCCTTTCCATCCACATGCTACTTATGCGCATAGATGTGCTATGTCTATGTGCATTCTTTTAATATGATTTGTTTGGATTTGTTCTTGAATCRTGGAACAGAAAGGGATTCTTCTGTGATGTTGCTCTGAAATAGCTCTTCAGAAAGATGTRTTGACAGGTATGCTGCTTTGGTAATGGCCCTGCTAAAACCTTTCCTCTTTCTGCTGTTGGGTTCCTCTACCACCTCCAATTAATTCCTCTCTTTGCTCTGACCTTTACTATATTTGTGTTTCTTTTGTACCTTTTCTTTTTCTCWTGTAAAGGAAATCTGCCTTTGGCAGATCCCTCTGCCCTCAGAAACTCTTAGCAGGCGATGTCTATCAGCTTTACATATATTGCACTTCCTCAGGCTTACAAATATTTGTTTAAGAACGAGGAGCTTTTGGTAACCAAGAAAAATAAAAAGATTTTCTTTCTAAAGTTGCTGTAACTTATTCCTAGTGTGAAAGACAACATATACTGCCAGCAGTGGGTCAGCAGCTCCTCACCTCCCAATTAGCCTTTGCACCCCATGTAGGTTCATCTTTTGTGTTTGTTTTCTGTTATCCTTGTAATTATCTTTTGTCGAAGACTGACAATTAATGGGAAGTTTTATTTGGTGTACAATTTGCCTATGCTGAGCACTGCTTCCAGTTTTTCTTCCGCTTCAATACTAGTCTGAATTGCTTCGCTCAGCAGCTTTTTCCTGTTGGTTTCCAGTCAGTGTTCTGATATCAGGGAAATGGAAACAGGGAAGAGGCAGGAGTTTTCCAAGTCAGAGTAAGGCTGATATTTTAGGTCTTGGTAATGTTCTGCTTGTGTTTCAAAACTATCTGACTTTTCAGAGTTGAAGGATGATTTATGTCTARTACATTTTTGGAAGAGTGTCTTAAGAGAGGAGGTCAATTGGTGCAGGTGCCTTTCGATGGGTTCAATATTTGCTGTGGGTTGTAAAGGCTGCTGTCAGCACGGGAGCAGGCTGGGGCACTGGGGGCAGCATTCCCAGGCCCCCTTACAATGGTGTGGCTGGGAAAAGTGTAGCAGCTTTTAGACCTGTCTGCTSTTGTGAACAGGGTGTCAAGCCTGCCTTGGGTCTGTAACAGAGCACRCCCCTAGCTGTGGTTGGTTTTGAATGTTATTTTTTCCTGTATATATATTGTATAATATGTATATATTTTCCTGTAGGTATTTTGGTGTTCGTTTTCAAGCTTCTGGTCAAATCTGCAGTGCCCAAGTGGTGATCAGGAGTGGTAGTGCTGGAAAGTGATAGAACCCTAAAATTCCTAATATTTACTCTCATTCACCTTAATAGGATTATACGTCTATGGGGAGGGCCTTCCTGTGTCAGTTCTAAATAAAACCTTCCTGAACACGTGTAGTCCTTTTCTTCAAGGAAGACATCAAAGTAAATATGATATATCATATACCATATATATCATATTTGGTTGCTTTATTGTTACTTTCTATATTTCTGTGCAGTAGAAACACTCTGCTTTGCTCTGTAGTCTGAATTTAACAGAATGAACTGCTTTGCAGGTCTCGTGGTCGGACATAGGAGGACTGGAAGATGTCAAGCTGAAACTGAAACAGGCAGTCGAGTGGCCGCTCAAGCACCCCGACTCCTTCATCCGAATGGGGATTCAGCCACCGAAAGGAGTGCTGCTTTACGGCCCTCCTGGGTGCTCTAAAACAATGATAGCAAAAGCTCTGGCTCATGAAAGTGGTCTCAACTTTTTGGCAGTGAAGGTAGGACATTTATTCTTGCATTTTMTTTTTTTCCAGGGTAACAACTGGCTGAGGGCAGTTTGCCAGCTGCCAGCACTAGAACTCGGTGGCACTTGGTGTCCTTATTTGTTCTACAGTAAACATCTTGTAAATCCAAAGCAAGATTTGTGTTTTATAATGAAAAGGACCATTTTTGTGTGTGTGTATGCGTTCTTTTTTTTTTTTTTTTTTCCATAATCAGAGCACAGAAATAACGTGTATTAGATGCGTAAGCACAGAAATAATATGTTGAATGGATGGGTAAGCTATTAAGTAGCATTTAAGTGCTTTATTTTAGTGAAAAATCTAAATAATCAGAATTATTTTAAATGTTTCTCAAAATGAAAACAGCAAGGTTGTTCAGGCACTCTATGAAGTTGACTGAGATTGGATAGTATCTTTTTACTCTTAAGAATTACTTACAGGGGAATGTTGTTGTCTTTTCATTTACATTCCTTTTCATTCCTCGAGAGTGTAGCTTTCTTTATATTAATAATGATATTTCATYGCATCAGTTTCTCACCCTATTGACCTGTTCTCAGAAGAAATTATTTGGTTTCACCAGCTTCTGGAAAGGTTTCACAGTAACTTATACCTGGTGTACTCACGGCTAAGTGGGATGCGCTCTCAGCATCGAGAAACACTTTAAGTCAAGAGATATTTTGGGATTCACTGCCASTGAATCATTTTAGTTGACTACTGTGGGGCATATGGAAAAAGCATAAATGGAAGTGTAATAATAATATTGAGCTTTGACATTTAGAACAAAAAAAGAAGACAGTAGAGTGATTCCACATGAGGTGGGACTGCAGCTGTGTCAGCATGTTAACGAAGTGCAAGAAATAACATTTGTTTAAGTATTTTTTGCTCTAAAAGCGCCTCTTTGGCAGCAGGGCCGCGTGCGCTGCTCCGCTGCCCGTCTCCCCTTTGCAGAGCTCTGTGTGGCGGTGGTTTCCGCAGAGCTTCCTCCCCTGCTCCGCTGCCGGCGACGTGGCGGGGCGGCGCGGGACCCATACACCTCTGCAAGGGGCTTTACACGAGGTGCTTTTAGGCAGTAGTGCAGCGCTGCTGCACTGTGCCTTTTTTCTAGCGGTACGAAAACTATCGCTATTGACAAGCGCAACAGAAGTGGCCAGCTTGGGGAAACTGCTCTTTATTCTCTGTCAGTTTAAGTACCGTGGCCTGGAACTGCCAAATATTCAATGTACAGATGTTCCACGAGGCACTTCTCTGGAGTATGTCCAGCCTTGGCTATGTTGACTCCAGGAAGGGAAGGGAGCCCACTTTCCCTAACTTTGCCTTTGCTTCCTGGACAGAAAAGGCACCATCCATCACGTATTAAATGTGTTAAACATCATTGCCTGTGCTTTTTAAAGCACAACAGGCTTGAATTCATCTCTATTCCATGTACTCCTGCAATAAATCCAAAGCAGCGGACAAATATGTTGAACTTTTTAAAATGAGAGAGTTTTTTTTTTTTTTTAATTGTTTATTTTCCCTTTCCCTTCGTTGTGTCTCAAAAGGCTGTTCCAGTAAGTGATACCAGCATCTACCATAGATTTTGAAGCAGAAGTGCGTTGCTTGATAAGTCACAGGCTTGATTATTCCAGGCTCTCTTGACTCAAACAAATGAACTTGATGAAACATGCCTGCCATACCTGCTGCGAATATGTATGTTCTTTCAGTGTAGTTAAGGAGGCTCAGGGTTGTGGGGTCCCTCTCAGTGGACTGCAGGAGAAGGAATTGCGGGACCTGCTGCTGGGCCTCATTCTCTCTCCTGTGTGCCTGAAACCTGGGAAGAGACCAGGTACATTATGTGCATCCCTCACTTGGTCCAGTGTTGTTTGGAGCCTGCTGTGTGTGCACAGTACATTCAATATTCCTGGACACTGTAAGTCCAACTCTGGGAAAATGAGGGTTGTGTCGTGCTTGTGAACATCAGCGGTGCTGCTCAGGTGCCCCTGGCCTGCAGCCAGCAGAGCTGGGCTCTACTTCTCCACGTGTGCCTGCGCAGCGTCTCTGCAGCTTGCTGGGCACTCGGTAAGGTTTCCTGCTAGATGATAAGGGATCTCTTCACAATTGTCATTCCCAGGTATCTTTGGAAGGGCTGCCTGTCATAGTGCTATAGGAGKCACGGCGGCCTAAGCGTGTCTCGCTCGTCTCTAGCAAGGTGTGGGAAACAGGCAAGGCTTAGACGCGATTGCTAGGCGGAGGAGWCGGAGCAACAGCCTTGGTCGTGTGTCTTGTGCTCTCTTGAAATCTGTGGTGGAATTTGAAGGGTTATTGGTACGATGTTTGACCCTTCTGAACACAAACTGTGTGATACTTGGCCCAAGCTTTTTACAGCTGTATTTTAGCAAGAGCAGTGACCTTTTACTTTTCCTGAGAAAAGATTTGTTTGTTAGTTTCTAACAAAGCAATTTTACATATAATCCCTGAGGGAGTTTTTCATGTTCATTTCCTCACCTGACTGTTCCTTCAGTCAACAACAAGGTGTCTGCTCACTTTTTGGGGGGAGGAGGCTGTCAACAGCTTCCAGGGAATATCCCTTCCTGATYCCTCCCACTACCTCTTTCTAAATCTCTAAAGCTCTTGATGCTTTTCAGCGTTTTAGCAAATATCTTAATACTTTTTTTTACCAAAAAAGCTATTACAAAAGTTTAACTTAGTTGTTCTTATCTTCTTGGAGAGTTTTCAGTGTTTTGCAGTTGTGGATATGAGCTGGATATAAGACTATGTAAACAAATGAAAAATTAAGATGTTTCTTTTTCTTTGGTGTTTGAACATCAGTCTTGCCTTATCAGTGCTTTTGAATCTGCTTGAGTTCTTATTTCTCTCAACTTTATATGCTTTTTTAGAAAATCCTGTGTCGTTATTTTGTTAAGAATCTGGTGAACATTGCTYTTCTTCATGTATTTTCTCTTGACTTTTTGGGAAGCAACTTGCAGAGAATCCATGCAGATGTTTTTTCTGGCATTATTATGTTATCTTGGTAATTAACTTTACCAACAATAAAGAAAACAGGCTTGTTTGGTTTTAGCCTGTGTCGGAATGATCATGGGAATTTCTTCCGCTGCTGTAAGCCTGGTAGGTAGCACCACATCTCTTCTGGATAAGTTTAATCTCCCCATGYTAAGGGGTTTTGCAGCTGACAGTGTCCTAAGAGTCAATGGGAGAGAATAATTCTTTTGCCTTTTGAGTTGCTTGTGTGCCTGGGTTGAGCACACAAGGAGAACCGGGAGGAGCTGTGCGTGGCTGGTGGCATCCTGCCTTAACTCGGACTTGCTCCAAAGCCGCTGGAATTAGAGGGTGAGTTACTGCTAACGTGAGGATTGTTTTGCACAGGGCCGTATGGACAGCGGACATAGAGGGCCATTTTCTACCCTGTGACTAGATTGTCTGAACCTAGGAGATAAGGAACAAGAAAACTTCGCAACTTGTACGTGCTTGCAAGGGTTTTAGAAGCTTTGGTTGTGCTCTAGCTGCTTGTTGCTTTCTTATTAGAAAGCAGCATTTGTAGATTTGCCTGTTTAAAATCAAAACAAAGCAAAAACTAACTTAGTGACAGTGACAAAACACAGCTTAAATTTTCAGAAAGCTTAGATCTTCAGAAGATAAACCCGTTGGAATTCAGCCCTCTAAGTGAGACATGCYGAGTACTGTAAACATGGTGAAGCATGAAAGCAGGATTCAAAAAAACAGTGGCAAGAGATGTTGGAGCACATGAACACTGAACAAACCAGTGTTACAGCGTTATAGCGCAGACGTGTGCACCTTTGCTCTAAAATACTGGTGTGTTTTACATGAGGTAGGAACTCCAACTATGGAGAAGAATTTTGAGAAAGTAGAAAATACTCCTGACATTTTATTTTCTGTTTTTCAAGAGTTCAGGCTGAAAGAATCATTTTTTTTTCTCAATTAGGAGTAATTGCGAAAATATACACTATTCTTAGAGCTCAGGCTTCACCTTGGCTTGATTTAACTCTCTGTATCACCCTGCAGATGCTTTTGTACCACTCCCCATGCCTGAGTTGCGCATGCCATGCGCTTAAGTTGGGTCTGTCATCTGGGTCAATTCCGTCAAAATATTTTCCAATTGCAGTTTCCTCTGCTTTTCCCTTCAGCTCTTGGCTGCCGCAGTTGAAACAGATTAACGAAGCCTTGGAAAGGCCGGCTGCTTTGCTTTGCAAAGAGCTGTCACTGGGTTTTTGGAAGATAGTTCAGCTTTCTGACAGGGATTTCAGCAAGCTCTTCTTGGGCTGTGGTTGTGAGCAGAAGCATGAAAGAAAGTTTTAAGGTGGTGATTAACTGAGTGAAAGAAAGTTTTCTAAGGTTAAAAATGAAGAAGCAATGTGGCCTTAGGAGATACTTTGTCAAAGATTTGATAAAATCAGGGAAAGACATGATTTACAGTAACACCGTTTAATTAGCAGATAGTGAAACTAATGTGCCCCGTGTTTTGAGAAATGCCTAATGTTTAAATAACATTTTCCACAAGAGATAGCAATTTGAGATAATTTAATGAACTCTCTTCGTCCTAAGGCTTGAATGTGTTTCATTCAACTAAAACTAAAATAAGGCAAATATGCAGTCTTGCCATAAACTCCCCTGAAATGAATATGTACCCCAAAAGTAATCCTTTCTGCTTCCTTCCCAGTTCTTTTTCAAGGCTRGTTCCTATTAGCACCTAGCTCCTGCCTCTGCTGAGGTTGCCCGGGATTTGCCCTGCCGCTCTCAAGCCCCTTTCGAGCCGGAGCAGCGCACGGCACCGCGGTTACATGTGGCCTCGAGTGAGAAGGGGTGCTGGAAACCCCTGGCAAACAGGGCTGGCTTGTGAGCGGCTGTCTTTGTGGAGGAGGACGAGGACGGGTTATCTTCTAGATCTACTGCAGCCCTGTTTGTTGTGGTAGGAGCTCACCTCTGCCTTGCTGGTGCGGTGCCTGTGCTTGCGCAGCGCTTCCGAAGCGCATGGAATCCTCCCGAATGGGAGCGCGGAGCAGGGCCCCCTTCGGATGCACTGGGGCATGCAAGCGTTTTAATGCAATGTTTATGGTGAGCTCACTCGGCACTACAAATATTGGCTTCTGTATTACATAAAGAAGCCTTGAAAGATTGTCACTGAAGTTTATTAGTCACAGCAAAAGGGAAACAAGTCAGTTCTGAGTCATGTTGATAAAGAAAAATGGAGATTGTATTTGCCTTGAGCAATTTAATTGCACTGCTTTTATAAACTTTGTTGCATGGACTGCAGTTCACAGTTTTTGCTAACCTATTTCCCCAGATGTTTTGGAACCTACAAGGAACCTACAAGTACCTGTTTAAGTTTTTAAAACCCCAGACAGGTGTCAGCAGGTTTATTTTAAGGTCCTTTAGAAAGCAAGTGAGAGGGAGAGGAAGCGATTAAAATGGTGAAGCTGTATGGGGCATGAAGGTTTAAAAGCTGCCTAGACCTGTGAATGATGCAGATTAAATCCCTCAGCAACATTAAAAGGGAAGAATCAGGCTTTATTCTTAACRAGGAAATATAATGCATTTTATGAGCAAACATTTTTCCAATAGCTTAAGCAGTTACAAAATAATTCACGTGCAACCTCTGCATTAGAAATAGCCTTACTGTTAAAAGAGAGGAAGTCTTATTGTTTGTCTTGCTAACTCTTTCCTGCGGCCCTCCTGAGCAATGTGTTATACATATGAGTAAACAAAGCTGTGGATATTTCAGCAGAATGGAGTGTGCCTGAGCTCGTAGGTTTACTACTATTCGTCTGGATTGCAAGTCACAAATGAGATGTGCTTATATATGCATGGCTGCTACAGCTGCTGCTACCAACTTCCTCCTCCAAACCTTGTGTAGATTTTGGAGCCAGCGTGTGCACGGCCAGARGAAGAGGTTTTGTTCCTCCACATCCTTTTGTCCGGAACACGGCTGGCTGCGCAACGGGCTGAGCTGCGCCTCCTTAATCCCCACCGTTTGCTGCTGGGGCATCTTGGGCAGCTGTAGGCAGATTGTAAATGAATCATTATGGGTACCTCTAGGTCACAAATGGTGTTTTATCAAGTGTCACTCTGCTGACTGAGTGCAGTTCTTCTCCACAAGTGGTGGAGAAGAAGCATCCACAGGGGATCTGCGACAGCTCTCCAAGGCGCCGCGCTCCGGCGGGGAAGGCCGCGCTCCGGTCCACGTTATTGCGCCAGCGCCACCCGGCCCAGTTTCTCCACCAAGCGCCTTTGAGCACTGCTAGCGTTTCTGTTGTGGTTTCACGTGTTTGCATTAGACAAAGTGCTTACCAATTCTGCTGCTTCGATGTGCTCTTTCTCTTCTGGAAACTCTTCCGCTGTTGCCAGGTAAAACAGGAGTTCAAAGCTGCTTTGTAATATAAAGACCTTGGTCCTGATGGCAGTTTTGGTGATGTCTGAGAAGTAGACTATGAGAGTGCCTTAAAATCAACTTTTATGAAAATTCTCCATTAAGAGACTCAGGTCATTAATGCCTACTGCTTTTTCACATGATGTTCCTGCTTAATGAAGAGCAAAATGGGAAAAACCTTCATGTCAAAGCTTACAGCAAAACCATGCACTCAAAATAATTCCCTTTGGAAGCCTTTTAAACACTATTTATTGCTTTGATGTTTCCTTGGTCATATTTTAATGCTTAATTAAAAATAAAACTCCAAGCATCTGAAGTGATATTGTACCCGGAARCTCAAAGAGAGCAGCTTTGGTGTTAAGCAATTTTTGCTCAGACAAAAGAAGAGTGCACGKCGGGCTCTGTGATGTTGTCTGTCACACGAGAAGAGTCTGTGTGGGGCTGCCTGCTGTGCTGCTGTGAGCGAAGTGGCCTGTGAGAGGAAGGGCCTGAAAGCCAAGGTCTGCAGGGGAGGGTAGTGGAAGAAATCTGGAACTGTGGGCAGGGCCTGCGGAGCGCACTCAGTGCTGCCGCTTTGGGCTCCCCAAAAGCAGGACCCCCGGGGAAACTGCTGCTCTCTGGTTGCTGTGGGTCTGTTATGGGTCCTCCTCTGCAGTGATYGTGAGGACTGGTGAGGGCCGGGGCAGCTGGGGGCTGTGACATGCACAGTGCTCTAACACGGGTGCTCTGCTGGTGTCAGATAGCCCGAGCTTTTCTTTTTAGGGTATATTCCCTTCCCTGTACAAGTGCATGTGTGCTTTCCAGTCATGCCTATGTGAAAATAAAGCCAGTACTCCTCCTGCAAGGCTGAATACAAGCCTGAAAAGGGAGTTTGGAAAAAGCGTCCAGCCTTTTTAGGGTGATAAATCTACATTTTGGTGATCTAGGTCRTAATTCCAGATGTTCTCCCTCCAAGAGCAGTTGCATCAGCACCTCTTTCAGTGCCAACGTATAAAGTCTGTCTTCTAGTGCAAGTTAATTTTAGTGTAACTGTTGATTAAAGCTTCCTTAAAGCTTCTGCTCAGAGCTTTACCTGAAGGTACTCAAAGCATTTGTTCAATTTACAGACTGTGAAGTAGGATGTCGTTCCTGCTGGTGGAATTCTGTGGACATCTGYGCCCTGGAAAGCAGAGTGGAGCCACTGGCTCATTTCATTCAGAGCGCCAGGTAGTCATTGGTAGTGGCTGTASGTCAAGGCTGAGGCAAACCAGGCTTTCTACCATCATCACAACCAATCCAGTGAGAATCATGCTTCCACAAAGAAGCATTTTTAGAAGCCTGTCCTCRGAGATTCAGCAGGACAGAAAACACTTGGAGTATTCTTCATTTTTTCAACTTTCGTAATTTTAAGTACTGGATGGATAAGATGCCTGTTGAGTGTACAGGTGAATGCTTTCCTCTAATGCATCTTTCTGGCTGAATGCCAGCCCCCRTGTTGCTGCTGCTGTGGGGCTAGCAACTTCCAGGAACCTCAGAGTCTTTCCTCTGTTGGTTTGTTTCTGTTAATTCCGTTTCTCAGATACTGTTAGGTGGACATCATGATAAAATACTGATCTATAAATATTGTCACATGTATGGCAAAGGCCTGTGACAAATGGAAGAAAACAGGGTTTTACCCTGGGTAACCATGTGTAGATGGTAAGCTGTAAAATGCCTTTTGCAAGTGATAAATTATTAAAAATCTTCCTAACAGAATATCAGTAAAGTAGCWTTGATAAATTGTCTAAATTATTTTGTATATAAATATAATACATATACTTCTTAATTTTTCAGGGACCTGAGCTGATGAATAAATACGTTGGAGAGTCCGAACGAGCAGTGAGAGAGGTGAGAAGGTGCAAACGGTGCATGATGTTATACATTAAGCTTTTCTTGTTATTCAAATTTTTTCTGGGCTTATAAGGTTACCTTTAAGCTTTCCAAGAAGACCTCCTGCAGTTTGAGTTTTTAAGGGAAAAAAACAAGGGACATTCTGTGCTGTTTATTCTCCTCCTGCTCTGGCCTAGTGGTCCATGTCAAATTAASGATTCAGTACAGCTTTCACTGTAAGCCTTTGTCGCACAGTGTCGTGGATATCTATGGAAAGTTCTATTAAAAAAAAAAAAAAAAGATTGCAAGACTTTTGTTCTGTGATTTCTTAGCTTTTGGAGTGCGTGGTGGGTGATAATGTTCTATTTTTAAAAAATCCATCCCTTAAAACCGAGTGTTTCATTGTTGTTGTTCTAGATCTTTAGGAAAGCCAGAGCAGTGTCTCCTTCGATTCTTTTCTTTGACGAAATAGATGCCCTGGCAGTTGAAAGRGGAAGGTAAGTAAGACTGCTATGAAAATGATAGCTATTTATTTGTTTTACAATAAATTACCCTAAAATACCATTATGCAATCACAAGTGTATCTTCTTGTGTATGTTCTTGTGTGTATCACAAGTGTATGCTTCTAGAATTCYCCTATTAAATAAATTCGTTCTACAGGCAGAAGGGCACTATTTGTGACTTCTACTTAAGCCTATTTAATTTGACATAAACAGGTAAGCTGGTGGAGATCCTCCTTTCTCATGTCATTAGCAGGAAGGATTCTGCTTACTCTCATGCCCTTTAGCTCTTTTCTGTGGTTTTAACTTGCTTTTATTTCCTGACTCCTGACTAACTTCTTTCTTTTCCCATGGTTGTTGCACTGGCCTAGCACAGTGCCTCCATCAAGCAAAGAATATGATTATATGCTGTATACTGATGGACTTCCCTATGGGAYTACTCATATACTTGCTATATTTACTCATATACTTACTATATTTACTCATATGCTTACTATATTTAAGCACTTTGCGGTGCAGGGAGAAAAGGTGTGAAAAAAATCAGGGGGTATATTTGTCCTTTCAAGTGCAGCATTGAAAAGGGATTCTTGTGGAAGCAGCAAAGTCTTTCTGTAACCTCCCGCTTTGCTGGGATTGTGACAGGGCCTACAGGCTYAGTTTCCATCTGAAGAAGGATTATAGCCGGTTTTGCTGTTTTGCTGCTATAGCGTTTTAGGTTTGAAAGGCTCTGTAAGTTGGCTTCCTATCTATAAAATATTTTTTTCCTGTCGCGAACTAGTGCAAGTTTATTTCTGCCGTGTTGGATTTGCATGAAAAAATGTCACATTTTTGCTAGAACAGGAGCAACCTCAGCATCTGCACAGATTCCTCTATATTGCAGAAGGGCCAGTGGTATCGACAAGAAAGGTGTCATTCTGACCTGTCAGCCCCTCAGCTTCCTTGCTTAGACAGGCAAGCATCTTCTGCTGCATAGTGCTGTGCTGTAAAACTGCTAACAGATGAACACTTTCTCTGTTGGAATTAATACAGGAGCTGACACAAGACATCTTCATGAGCATCCTTTTTTAATGTAGTGTATTCCACTATGAAACTTGTAAAATTCCTAGAAATGCTTCCCACCCTGCAGCACAATGTTAGAACACCTGCCTGTGTGCCTATTTTCACAATAGAAGTTGCAAAAAATGTGTTCTGGAATCAAGCCAACAAGAGAAAAGTCTCCCCRTGCTGCAATTGTTTAAGTATTTAGCTCTCAGAAATATTACTTCATCAAGATAAAACCTTCTGGAGGTATAAAATACAGAACATGTTCATCGGCCATTTCACGCAGTTCCTTTAGAGGCTCTGTATTTATTTGTTGGTTTCATTCTTTTAGGGGGTAAATAACCCAATTTTACGTTACCTGGAATTGTCTGTAGCGGGTAGTAGGCCTGGCACAGCTTGCTGAAGAATGTGGTGTGACCTGCTGCAGTCGTGTTGTGCTGGAGACATCTGGTTTGGGAGCTTTAAAAAGAACAGGGTGGGACACACAAATATTTCATTGTCAAATCTGAACCAGATGGGAGGTTAAATATGTAGCAGGGTTCTCATAAAATTCTTCTGAAATTAAATGGTGTAGGAAACCAGACAAGGCACTTATTAGAAATGGCCCCTTTTTTTTACAGGCTGATTTTGCACAGTAGGAATTTGCAAATGCATTAGAGATGCTAATGATTTGTGGCCTCTGGAGATCCATTTCCTGTACTATTAGTAACCATACTGAAGTTTTCAAGGAAACACCTGTTTTTGTTGTCTCCCTGTTCCCTCCATTGGCGTTTTTTTCTCCTGTCTTGCCAATGAAGAACAGTCTGTGATACAACTTTGTAGAAGTTTTTTCCTCTCAGTTTAAATCCTCATTAGGATTCTGTGGGTTGCGGGTTTTGTGCAGAATGTGCTGCATCCCAAAGCCCTTGGGTAGGTAACGTCTCCTCATCCTCACTGTGCCCGGAGCTGCTGAGAAGCCTCAGCCAAGTTGTGAGAGTAGTTTTCTGCACAACTCAGATCTGGTATACAGATGTGAAATAGCATTCACTATCTGCCTAATGCTTTTGCTCTTCAGAGCGCTTTACCAAATATTCATTAACACATTATAATTTTTTTTATTTTTGCCTAAAGCTTGTGGGTTTAAAAAGTGTGAATGTTTTGCTCCAGTACCTCTGTAGAGCTCACTAATCAATCCYTTCTCATCATCTGGCACATATAAATTAATAGACTTGGTAATTTATTATAACCAGTGATAGGTGGATCAAGAGAGCTAAGAAATCTCCTGGGTTGCATCTTTCCTTGCTTCATGTGGCAGAGTCTGTGTCGCTGCAGAAGCCATTAGTCCGTGTCAAACACTGGCTGCATTCAGGTCTGCCATGGTGCTTTATTTATTTATGCATTCCCAAGCCATAGCGCCATAATTTTAAACAACATCTAACACTCTCCCTAATGAAATTATCGTTATTAATTTAATAGCAGGAGATTCAAGCAAGATCTCCTTACAGAGTTGCCTTTACTAAGTATATTAAAGAATGAACACTTTCCCGGTACACTGAAGTATGACCGCAAATAAACGAAGTTCCAGTAGTGCTCTAGTAAACTCATTTAGGAGCTTATTTGCTTTGGTAACTGGGCAAATGCTTATGCTAAGGTAAACAGCACTGAAAGTGTGTCTGTAGTGAGTGGAAGAAAGAAAGAAAGATAGAAAGGAAGAAGGAAAGAAAGAAAGTGCTGAAAATACTGCAGAAACTCTGTGTTCTCATGTGATGGCAGAACATCTTTCACGTCTGCAGTATCTGTGTGTCAAACAGTTTTGTGATACAGAATTGATTTGTACATGTTTATAAGAAATAGTACTTTGGAATCATTAAAAGGGTGWTGTTCAGTATCAAAATACATTATTTCTGAAAAGATTATTTCTAATTCATGCTTAAAAATGTATGCTTAGAAATCCATATCTAGAGGAACTAAGCTCCTACTCTTCCTCATTTTGTATGTGGAATATAGAACAACGCATAYCAATCAAGAAGGTAAAAAAGAAGATGGGAGGGTGAATCTGAATAAAGGATCCGAGTTCTGTTACACTGTGATTAGGCGTTGAACTAAGGGAAGCGTGCACTGTAAGTAGGAGTGGACTACTCCTGCATAGAGAGTAGGAGATGCACATGTAGAGGAAGAAAATGAAGAGCAAGTTGGAGGGCATAGTGGTACTTTCTGAGCAGGAAAATGATTGAATTGAATATGGCAAAACTTCTGAAAGTCAGAAGGACTTTTAATAGTGAATTCTCTAGCACTGGGARTTACACGTGTGGAGAGGAGCTCGGGCAACCTACCATTTGACAAGGACCTACCATTGGAAATGTCTCAGGTTAATGTACAGTGAGGAGCACTCTTGTATGGGGAAGGGTAAACTGCAYGATCTGAGAAATCATTTCCATCATTCGGTGGTTCTAATGAACATGATTAGTTAATGATTAGCTAGTGATTTCTTTCCTCTAATGTTGAAAGCCGATGACTCTTGTTAGGAGAGTCTGTGCTGAAGCGAGACCCATGGGACTGGTCCAGACACAGCAGCACACGAGGAGGAATGTTTGCCTCTCAGTAATCCCTTCCCCGTTCAGAGCCTAAGACTCTTAACAAATTGCCCAGCTGCTAAGACGTACGGGTATTTGTTATTCCTGGGTATCCTGAGCATGTTAAACCCAGTTCTTCTGGCCATTAGAGGCTGCCAAGAGGGAAACGACTTCGTAATTAGACTTGAAAGTGATGAATGAACGTGGCTCTGTGCAAATGCAGCGCAGATGGTCTGTTTGCCGAACTTAAGAAATCTATGTGCTTTGGAAATGGAGCGTTGTTTATAGAAGTAGGATTTTTAGGATTTTTGCGCAATAGACATGTTTGTTCCTTTTCTTGTTTTTCAGAAGCAAAGCATTTTTCCTCTTAACTGCAAATCCCTGTAATCCGAGATGTGAAATCTTGTAGGCTGGAGTGAAAACCACTGCTAAATTCCATTTTCAGAGGAGGAAAGAAAAAAAAAAAGAGAGAGAGAGGAAGGGACAAAGATCAATACCTTGCATTTGATTTCTAATGCCTGTCTCCCAAAGTTGAAGGGCTGATGACAACAACCTTTTTGGGAAGAGGCTGGAAGTGAGGAGGTGAAGGGCTCTCGTTCCTGATGCAGTGAGGATGCAGTATGGTGCTGCTTTTCGGGTGATGTACAGTCTCCTGTGTCCTGGGGGGGAAGGATGCATTGCGTTGCAATAGTTAGTTGTGGGGAGAAGGTTATTCTGTACCTTCCCAAGCTGTATTTAAATGGTTGTGATGGCAGGTTTTGTGGATGAGAACCTTTGAAAGATGAGCAGTTTTCATTTTAGGTATTGAAATATTTGCAGTTAACTTTTGAGGTGCTCAGAGTTCTGATGAGGCTAGAAAAAGAAGTTCTTCTTCCATAGTGTGATGCCCCTAATTTTAACAGGAACTGTGGGACAGTTTCTGGTTTTAAACCAAGCTCTCTGTCCTTTTGGAGTGTAAACTTCAGCATGTATTTATAGTGTACATTTTAGCATATGGCCCAACTTTAGTATTATTGCCAGTTCTAGTGTGATCACTAGCCTCTGTTCTGGAAGATGGAGTCAGTCTAGGACATTMTAATCCTGAAAGCCATGGACTGGATCCTGCAGGCCCAAAGCAAGTGGCATTCGGTAGGATGGAGGTTCTCAGCAGACAAGTACCCTGCACATGGTAACTCAACACTCACAGAGCTGTAAAGAAGTGTTGTCACCCTAGTATTACCCATAAAGAATGTAAAGTTGTTGTGATCTAAAAATACATGGAGTTTGTGGAGTTTTCCAGTGCTGCTGTTGTGTTGTGATAGGCTTTATTGAGCAGCAGGCTGAGCTAGACAAGCAGACAGACTCAGCCTTCCTGAGTTACATAGGCTCTGGTTGTTCCTGAGTTACATAGGCTCTGGTTGTTCC